AAAAAAAAAAAAAAAAAAAAAAAAAAAAAAAAAAAAAAAAAAAAAAAAAAAAAATGGCTGGAAAATTCTTTGAATTTCGTCCCGGTTTTTTGGTTTTCCTATTTTCTGATTTCCGGATAACGGGTTCTGTACTGTATAATGAATTATTATTTAAATAATAATGAATTAAATGAATGAATAAAATAATAATGAATGAATAAAATAATAATGAATTATTAATTTATCTACCTAGTTTTAGTAGAATATACTACTAGGTAACTTTTCTCTGTTTCACATAAAAGAAAATAAAAGTAACAAATTTTTCCAGTTCATTGGTCTTCCCTTTCTTCGAGCTCCAAATGGTTTTGCGAAGACTTTTTTTTGTTTGCTTGGTCATCGTTCATTCGAATCAAACGCCCATTTTAGTCTTTGAGCTGTTATAAATTTTATTATGTTTGGCTCTTTTTAGATCCTATAAAGTTCTGACTTTGTTTTTCTTCTCCAAGCATCATTACACTTTACACCTCCTAAAATACTTTTTTTCTTTAAAAACGCTACAACTTCCTTATTTATCACTTTCAGTCATTACCCACGTTTCAGCAAAGTATGTAACTATGAGCCAAATCAAAGCTTTGTAGAGAATAATTTTGCTTTCCTGCTGATGAGACATAGATTTTAAATACTTGTATATTCCATAAAAACATTTTGTAACCAGCTGTTATTCTCTTATGTACTTCTGGCGTTACATCATTAACAGTGTTCAATTCCGAACCCAAATAGGTGAAACTATTTAACTGTAGTCATCTAGTTCGAGATGGGTGAAATTAAAACAGGTAATCCTCATGAATTTGGTTTTGGTTTGGTTGATTGAAAGATACATTTTCTTTGCCTCTTTTTCCAGGGAAACAAAGGCCTGTTTGAGAGCACTCACGGTCCGGGTGACTACAATATCATCAGCAAATGCAAAAATTTGTAGTTTTGTGGAAAATTGTTCTTCTGGTGTTGATTGCAGAATCTTTTGGAGAGCAATGTTAAAAAGCAAGCAATCCAGTGTGCCTCCCTGCTTGAGACCATTTGAAAAATCAATAGGTTCTGACAGGTTGTTCTGCATCTTGACTCTAAGTTTAGCTTTACATAAGGTGATTGCGATTGGCTGAATAAGCTTTTCCGGTATATTAAACTTTCTCATTGGCTGTATGAATAACTCTCTATTTAACAGAAAGAAGTTATTCGCAGAAAATTCTTCCTTTTATCTAAGTCTGTATATTGGTGATAAATTTTGTTTTCAAAATAATAGTATTAGGTTTTTGGATAAATGTAAATTCAAGTTATGTTTTTGTTGTTTGCCTATAAATTTACCATAATTTGTTTTGTAATCTAATAAGTAAATTTAAATTTATCTGCATTGATTATTTTTATTTCATGCACAGAAGAAAAAGATTAATCACACATTTTAAACTAATTCATATAACTGTCAAACAGAATCCAAATATTTCCCTTAGTTATAGCATTATGTTATTGTCGGCCCCCAACACTATAATTTGTAGTTTTTGTGGCTCGCTGCCAGAAAATGGCTATAAATTCCTAATTCACAATGTAAACAATAATAAGAAAAAAAAACATGGAAAATTATAAGTATAACTCGTGATCTAATAATTAGGTCGTCACTTTCTAGGATTCAATCTGGAAAATATGACCATATTAATGTGGACAAAAGTTTGGACTCTTTAATACTAATTTTACTTTTGACATATTTTCTAATATCGCTAGAATTAAGCAGATATGATATTTACACACGATCTTAGAACTTGTTTATTCAAAGATAATGTCAAACAAAATTTCATTTTGTAAAATTATTCATCATTTTTAACTATTTAATTCATACTGTAGTTTAAAGGTGGTCAGTATAGAAGGGTTAACTAGATTTAAAAAATTAAAGAATCTATTTTCTGTGGCAAATATTTTTTTTTTGGATTAATGTCTTCTACTTGTACGCAAGTTACTGATATAATATGATATGTAAAATGAAAATTTCAAAGTCTGATAAAAGAAACTTTTGAAAAACAAATATGTTTAAAGTATCATAATGTGGATAAGGTAAAGTTTAGTTGCAAGCGGAAAAGTGATGGATAACTCTTGAATTCTTTATTTTAACGCACCGGCGGTTTAGCAAAAGGGCAAAATTGGAAGAATGTTTCTCCCCTATACACCATTTCCCTATCTAATAACATGGAAAAACCAGTTTAGATATGAGGAGAAGACTGCATGCGACTTTTCAAGTGCAAAATAGTCTGTGGGTTAAGTTATAATGTATTTATGTAGCAAAAATAAAGTAAAAATATATACACTTACATGTTTGGAAAAATATCTATACTTTACACCTAGAAAAGAAGCTAAATTAATTATTTGTATAATCATGTTTTATTCAATATTATAACTAAAAAAATAATTCAAATAACATTGAACATTTTTTTTTTTTGAATCAGTGTTCTGTTCACATACAATTCCAAAAATTAAATTTTTTGACTTTTTTAAAAAATGAATAGTTAATAATTAAAATTTTTTCATTTACTTCCATTTTAACTAATCTTTCCCTGAAAGCATGCAACTACAGAAAAAAAATTTTTTTTTTTCAAAGCTTCATTTTTCATTTTTGTGTGAATAAAAATGAAATTTTAAATTATTCTTTTGATTGTTTCTGAGTAGCATAGTTGAGAAAACAGACATACTAAAAGCTATTATAGCATAAAAAAATAGCATGTAACTAGGAAATTTATTATAATAACTGTACTAAATATTAACAGTAATTTAATAAAAGTAATTGATTAATAGTAATTGACAAAAAAAAATTTATAACTAATTATTCATTAGTATAATTAACATTAATATTGGAAATACTAATATTGGAAATATTATTGTACACATAAGTAAGAGTGCAGAAAATTCTCACAGCCTAATATTCCCGATGATCAAAGGTTTTTTTTTTAAAATCAAAATTTTCTCAAAAATTTTATAAGAAACAAATTAATTTGATATATAACACAATTCTCAAATAAATGAACACATGTTATAATATAGTAGAAATCTTAATAAAATTGAAATAGTAATAATTTAAATTAAATTTAAGGTCTCACTTATTAACATAAGGAATTTAAAATAATAATTACATAAATTGACAAATGCTTTTTTTAACAAGAAAAAGTTTTGTAAAGTGACAAATTTTTTAACAATAAATTTTGAAAGAATTTTCTTTTTTTAAACCAAAAATTTCCCCAAGGCTGCCTGAATTTTTTTCAAAGCCTTGTTAGTACACGCGGTCAGACATTTTCTGCTCCCAGAATATAATCAATAAAAACAAATATTGAGAATCAATAAAAAACTTATACATCAAAATCAGACAATTATTAGCGAGCATTCTAATTTCTCTATAAAAAATCTTCCTAAAATTTAATATAAACTGAGTAGTTAACAATATGGGTCTAAAAGTATTGAGATTACCGTAACAAAAACCATTAATAATTACCATAATTTTGGCAACATTCTTTATATGTGATATATACAGTGTTTCCATCATAGGAAAAAAAATGGGTGAGAATTTCTTACCCTTTCTCAAAAACAGATTTCAGAAAGTTAAGTAAGATTTCTAAAAACTAAAAAAACACAAAAACTCTTGAAAAAAAATCATTTCTTTAATTATAATACATTTTTAACATTTTCTATTTTTTAAAGCATTGAATATTTTTGGTGCATCATCATAGAAGATTTTGCCTTTACAAGGTATTTCTCCATCTTACATTAGTGCATAAAAAATTTGAGCGTCTTACATGAAGAAACCTTACCTACGGTAAACACGTGGTCACAGAGAAATGTGTTCTGAAAGGGGTTCTGTGGTTGTGTTCTGTTGTTCGAAAAGGTTCTGAACAATACTGGTAAATAGGGAAGCTAGATAACGGGGCAGATGTTGAAAATAATGGAAAACCCAGGAAGAAAAGTAAAAAGGATTTTATTCTAAATGGCATAATTTGAAGCTTTTTCTAAAATGCGAGAAATTGGCGAATTTTCAAATTGATTTATAGAATGTGCGAATTTCTTGTGGTAATCATTTTTTAATGCGGGAAAAGAAAAAAATCTCGCGCTGTAGTGAAAACACCTACATAAGTCATAATTATAGTAGGATATAATGCAAGTATTATACAAGATTTAGTATCTAATAAAATATAATGCAAAAAAAGAAACTTGCCCCAGGTTCTTGACGGATTTCGACAGTTTTTAACGTGTCATGTTAAAAACACAACACTGATTTCCGAACTAAGTTTTATTTTTGTTTTACTTTAACAGCATTTTTAAATAATGTTCATAATGAACGTTATTCTTTTAAGATCACCTTTAAAAATACAGCAAGCTGAAAAGGTTAAATTTAGACTTTTAGTGTTAAATCTTTCATTTAAAATTGAGAACAATTTTTGTTTTTATTTAGCTTTTTCTTATTCAAAAAACTTTCCTTTTTATAGACCTTTTTATAATGACATGGCAAATAAGAGGGCTTTTTTCAGACTTCAAGCTTCACTTCTTCTTAAAAATAGGGCAATTGGAAAACTGAGATGTTTAGATTTAAAAATTTTTTTCAAAAATTAAGATCGATTTTTTATTTTTTCTCTGCTTTTGTATAGAATCTTTTTTAATGGGCATTTCTATGATAGTGCTGTATTTTTAAATGCGTTGCTGATAGACATTCTCTCATTTGACGTTTTATGAATAATTTTTATCCAGAAAATGATTTTAGCATTAAAGTTTTGTTTTAAGAATTAAGACAATGTTGTTTTCTATTTCTTTCTTTTTAACAACTTCAATTTTTTTAATAGCTGTTAGTCAGTTTTTCATTCATCTAAAATATTTCTAATCCCCGTGGCAGAATCGTGGCGACACGGCAACATTGTCGCAGAATGTTACAGAGTTCTTCCAAAAAGATTTTTCCTTTGGGAACTGAAAATTGTTGCTTTACTTTTCTGCAGAAATTTTCAAAATTTTTTATCTTTTCTTCAAAATTATATTCATAAAACAGCTTTCTCGCGCATCAGAGTTAAAAAAAAAAACACTTGCGATTCTGCTATTTTGTAGAAATTTTTGTTCTATTTTTTCATGCAATGTTATTACTACTGATTTTCACATAGCTTTTAAAATCAGAAATTTTTAATACCATATTATTTATTACAAGAACTGAATCTCGAAATGAAAACACGCATTTAGTAAACCATTTTTGAAGTGTCCAATTTGCCTGATTTTGCTTTTGATCATTTTTCCAGTAGTTACTACTAATTTTCACGATTTTTTTAATGTGAATAATGAAATGTGAAAAGGAAATGACTAGTGTGTTATCTTTCTACAAAATTCAAAAATATCGCCAATATTATTAGAATATAAAAAAAAATCACATATTCAATTAAAAATAATAATTTCATTTGATCCGTTTTTTTCATTGTTTTCGTTTATTTATTTTGTTTTAAGTTAACGCATCTGTTACTTTAAGTGAGTAACATGTCTAATTGTTATTTTTAAATTGTAGGGTCAGTAACCTCGTCTGTGGTAGTAACAACTATTGATAAAAATAAGAAGAACTACCGAACAACTTCTACTTACAGGGGGATTCCCCCTAATATGTAATCACATTAGTGAGCGATTTAACTGGGAGAAATAAAGCAGTAAATGCACAAGTTGTCTCCTGTTTCTTGTAATTTTAAATAATAACATTACATTGAATATTAAAATATTACATACCAATAAATATTAAAAACCAATTCATTTGTATATAAGACATTTTAAAGGAGATGAAGGTTGGCACAGTCTATAATTATCGCCCCTCAATTTTTTTTTTTTTTGAGCGCTTGCAGAACGATATTAGTATAAGAGAGGTATGTCGCAGAAAGCCTGAATAAATTTGACTGACAAATGACACAAATATGAAAGCCAATGAGCTAATTTAACACTTCAAAATATAATGTTGCTTTGATATAGAGAAAGTGATATGGACTCACCATTTAGTTGGTCAATAATTTACAAATATATAAAAGTAATTCACATTAAGATAGATACTACAGACTACGATTATTTAAATGAGAAATTTAGCTTATAATCTAACTTTATTGACATAAATTCGAAAATTATATCTCAACAGCTGTCACAAGCATGAAAGCAAATGGACTAATACAATGCTTTAAAATATATGGTTGCTTTGCTAAAATTGAACAAGTAAAAACAAATTCAGAAGATTATGAGTCTTACCATTGCTCTGTCACTTATATTTTCAAGTGCGTCTTATCTAATTTTTAATGTTAAAGCGCGTATTTCCAGAAAACAAAACAAACACTCGGTAAAGTGAATGATGTCACAAATTCTCATGTTACGTCACATGATTTAAATCATTTAGGTGTAGTGTGCTTACGCCACAATAGATTTCTGTTAGAAATTGCAATCTTTTTTTAATTTTTTTTCGTGACTGGCTTTAATTTATTTCTTCGTTCTCAAAGTAATAAATATCAAGTTAATGTTTGAAACGATAAGATTGGGAAAATGATCAAATTCTCTGTTGCAGACGCGAATTCTTTGCTTAGAGTGTGAATGGTCCTTTGATAGCTGCCACAAATAGTTTGGGATATTTCACTTCCTTTCAGAGGTCGCTTCCATCTGCGACGATATCAGAATTTTGGACAACAAAACAAAAAGTCTTTCACCGGTAAGAAGTAAAATCAATCAATTTTTTATTAAATAAATTGAAAATTTTCTCGTATCGTCAATGATCACAATACTTTAAGTTGTACATTCAAATGCTTTTGAAAAGTTTTCTGAGAAGAAGTTACTAAAGCAGCAATAAAATTTGTATTGTTCGATTTAAAGTATATTATTCTAATATTTGGGGTGTGTCTATTTATTTATTTTATGGAAATACTAAATTTAATTTTTAAACATAGTCGTTTATTTTTTTTTCAATTTACAGATAAATATTTCTTTTCAATTGATTATGCTTTTATGTTAGGACAGAGCTCACCTTTTTAAATAATGTTAACATTTTCTTCCTAATAGAAAACTTCGTTTCTTCATTTTAATTATTTTGGGATTGCGATCAAGTATGCTTAAGCTTGTATAAAGCATGATATATTTTGCTATAATTTTTAAGTTATTAATAAACACATTATTTGCTTTAAAGTTAACGATGTTTTAGAAACATTGCATACATTCGTGAAATGCTCATATCTTTTTGTTCATCTGTATTTTTCAATTTATGAATCCCCTTTATGTCTTATTACGTACAAAATTTTATCTTTATTATACATTTTGCTTTTGAAATGAATGAAAAAAAAGACAATAAAATTTACTTATTTTTTTTCTTAAGCATTCCAAGCATATAATTTAAGATTTTCATGATTTTAAAATGCAATACCTATCCACTATGCTTTCACCTTCCATTAATAAATAAGTATATGTTCTCTAAATAATTTAATCTTTCTTTTCTAAATAACAAATTTTTTTATCAAATAAAATATTAGCAAACAAAAATTAGATTCACAAATAATAAGTAACTTACATTTTTGGTACTAAATTAAAATGTTAAATAGTATAAACTTAAATTCATTAAATTTAATATATTAAAAACGTACCTTATTTCATTTTATGGAAATATTTAAACATAACTTAAAGTTTTTTGATTCATAAAGATATCACCAGTTTGAGAATTAATCTAAAATCTGAAACTATTTTTTCTTGTCTAACTGTTAAAAGCAGGGTTCGTACAGACTCCTTAGAAACTCCTTGGAAATAAAAAAGCCTCTAAAGAGTACTTGGAACTACTTAGATTTCCAAATTAGTCCTTAGAAACTCCTTAGATGCATTGCATAGATGAACTTACTTAGTCCGCTGATGAATTTGCTGTTCAAGCAGGGAAACAAAATGATTTGACTTAGCTGTCAAAATCTAACAGGTTAAGAAAAGCTTTGAAAAAAAAAATAAAATTTAATTGCAAGAGTTAGAAGAAAAAAATAACAGCAAATAATTTTAACTTTACATGTTACAAGCAAACTTAATTAATGATTTACTGTGATTTTTATTTATTTATTTTTTTGTACAAAATGCCTTATATTAAAAATATACGATTGGTAGGTTTTTATGTTAATCTTTAACATCTGTACTATGTACTTTAACAAGATTTATCTAAATATTTGAAACTGTAAAATGTATTTCTGTGTGAAAGTGATAGCTTTTTTTTTTCTTGATGAAGTTTGTCGAAGTCAAAATTTATTTCAAAAGGGCTAGATAAATATATCTAATGCAAAATATAAATTTCTGCAAGTTCTTTATAATAACTGCTTTTTAATTTTAAAATAAAAACTGTCTAGTTATCTTTTACACAAAGTTTTTAAATTTTTGATAAGTTCTTAAAATTTTGGACTACTTGGATTTCTTCTTCTGATCTCTGTATGAACCCTGGTTAAAAGAGAAGTGAATAATTGAGTTATTATTTGACATGTTTTGACTTTCAACTGATGTTCTAAATTATGGTTTTCTGCCAAATTATGAGTTCAATATTCTAAAATTTATTTTTAAACTTAGACATTGTAAATGGAAGCAGGTACAGTCTATAATACAAATCTTAAATTGGGCTATTTTGGTCCAATCTTTTAAAATACTCGTTACACAAAAATTATTTTTTGCTGAAAAATTTATTTCTGTATTGTTAGACTAAAAATATCATCATTTTAATTTGTGAATTGGATATATATATATAAAATTTTAATTGATCTATTTGAACGATTCTTAAAAGGTTTACAATCCAAATAAAGTATGCAATAAGTATGTGTATACATATTGCACATTATATTTGTTTTAAAGATAAGTAATATATTATGTTTTAGCAATGTTTTTTTTAATCATCAGAAATGAATGTGCTCTGGAAAAAATCCGGATTTTTCTTTAACTGCCATTTAGAGGTTTCCGGAGTTCCGAGGTCGAGAAGTTTTAAGTTATGTTTCATTACAAGTTATGTTAAGAATTTATATTGGCTAAGATATTTTTTATTTAAATTTTATTCTGTTAATTTATTTATTTATTTATTTTTGATATTTTTCCGAAAGCCTTTCTCATTCTTTGTTGGCAAGCTGCCAGTTGTATAGACAGATCCCTCCTTATATTTTTTTTAGTCAATAGAATATCGCTTAGCACTTCCTTTCTCTCGTTTTCATTAGAATTTGTTTCCATAGTCGATTATTTTAATAATTTGTTTATTTATACTATTACTTGTCTGTGCAAAGGTATGACTTTCGCCTCATAAATATTGAATCAAACATACAATTTATCTGTAGATTAAGCATACTTTATTCAATTAATTAATCGTTTTTTATGATTATTATTTATTTATTATTGTAGTTATGTTTTAAATAATAATAAGTGTAATTAGTGATAAAAGTCAACTTATACATAATTATTCATATAAATTATGCTGCTTATAATTTATTTTGAATTTTATGTTTTGAAAATAGCAACGATTTCAGTTTACAAAGACATTAATTTTTTGAGAAAAGTAATTAATGATTTTACTCAAGAAGTTTTCAGGATTTTTGAGTCTGGCTCATAATCACCCCTGAATCATGCATTTAGTTTTTTTATGCATTTAGTTCCTTTGTTCATCATAATTTTGTTTGCAAAAATCAGATTGCTAAAATTTATTTTACTTTGTATTTTGTATTATAATTTACTTAGGTAAATTTATAAAATAATAAGTTAATAATTTGAAGGGACAATAATTTTAATAATTGTAAAGATAATTGATTAGGTAATACGTTGCACTTGAGCTGTACAATGGGCTATTGACGACGGTCTGGGAAACCCCTGAGGATGATCCGAAGTCATGCCATTGCAAATTTGATCCCCTGTAGAAGGGATGGCTCCCCCTACTTTAAAATTGATTAGAAATAATAAAATGTGAAAAACCCACTTGGTGGGTTTAAGCTTGGGTTTTTTCTACTAGGGTGTTTTCAAGTAGCATCTGAAAATTCCCACTGGGTTTTTGGATTCGGTTCACCTTGGTGAACCCTGGTGATCAAGTATAAAAAATGCAAAATATATGGTCAATTCTATGACATCAGACAACTTTCTTAGCACAATTTTAGCTACTAAATATAAAAATATTTTACAAATTTTGCTGTGTTCCAATTTTTAGAACTCTCACTTAAAAATGATACAAAACAGTTGCTTTAGATGAAAAACTTTTTAATTAATAAAATATAAAAATGCCATAACAAAACACGAATATGTCATGTCTTAACAATGTGACCAATTTCTTTAAATAGTTTGTAACTTAGGTTCACAAATTTCAGTTTTATAAAAGAAAGACTTAATTTGAAGACATGAAGTATAAAAATCATAAAATTTAATGCAAATACTGTGATGCCACAATAGGCATTACATATTTCCCAGTTTTTAAAATTTCTGAAATTTTTTTCTAATCATTATAATTGAATTTTAATCAAATTAAACCAATTATTTAATTTTTATTGCATTTCATAAAAATCCAATATAAATATTTTACTTTTCTTAACAATCAATGTAATGACTAACTTTTTATTTCAATGCAAATGTAAAACTCATTAATTCACTGTTGCGACTAATTCGAAAGCAAAATCTGTTTATAACTTTATTTCTTACTACAAAAATGTTTCAGTTACATGATTATACTAATTCTCAGCCTTTTGGACGATTTCACAGGGGAGTTGATTTTATTTTTCGCTATATTATCTTTTGACAAATTGTCAACTATAGATCTCTTTTCATGATTCTATTTCAATTAATTTTGTAAAATGTTCATGTATTTATATAAAAAAAATTTTTTTCATACCTTTTTAATGAAATTTAAGGTCATTTTGAATTTTTGATTCCCTCATAATATACTTTAAAATTATTACTATTTTTGTATTATACTTGTATTTTTTACTCGTTTCTTTTTGTAAGTAACATTAAGGTGTATGCTGTTCACTTTGTTTTTGTTTTTCATAACTTTAATTTTCTTTTTTTTTCATGAAGAAAATGAATAGCTCTTTCAAACCATCACCTGTCCATGGGGCTGGAGCAACATTATTTATGAATGAACATTGCAGTGACATAACCATAATTATAACGGAGGATTGTACAGTTTGGAGATTTCCTGCACACAGCACTGTTCTTGCTGCCCAAAGCATTGTCTTCCATCGAATGCTTGATAGTGATTTCATTGAAAAGAAAACCCAAGAAATAGTTGTCCAAGATATGACTCCATCAACTTTGAAAAAACTACTTCGGTGAAATTATTTATGTTATTAATTTTCTTCTGGAGTATTAAAATATTTTTTTCTATTTTACTTGCATAAAGAATTAACTATTTCTTATAATTTTTCAGAAAATAACTTTTGTTGTTATTTACGCTTGCTCTAATTTTTAGTAATATTAATTGGTTTAAAATGTTTTTAAAAATTAAGAACTGACTGTCGTGAATGTAACGTAATATTTTATATCAGCAAGAGCTAATTTTCAATTTTTAAAAATTATTAGAAATGCTTAATTAATTAATTTATTTTTAAAACAAGATTTAAAGTACGATGATATGATATATGCAAATGACATTGTAAATGATTAAATATGCAAATATGACGTTTGTAAAGTGGTTGATTTGGCCACAAATTTTATTTTCAATTATTTTGCTTTTGAAATAAATTTTCCTTTACATTGTTTTTTATATGAAACACTATTTTAATTTTAGTTTTTATCATATTTTTTTTTTTTTTTAAATTTCCCAAATAATGTCTCCATAAATTTAGTTTTGACTATTAAAACAAAATGGTGATAAATATAAAGGTCTTATGGTAGTAAGACTCTTTATTGTGCATTGTGATAATAAACTGAAATGATATTTTTAAATATAAAACTGAATTGATATTTTGAGTTTAATTAATTCATATTATAATACTTATATTATTGTTTTGGTTTTCAAATATTTGATAGGAATTATAATGATAGGACTTATAACTTCATATAAAAATTGATTTTGTTTGAAACAAATGTTTCTTATATATTCATAGCATTTTTAAAAAGTGCTTAAAGGTGTTTATTTTTGATGTAAATTTTTTAAAAGCCCTTAACCCCTTCCTTCTTGCTCTCGTGAAAATGACGGGGTGAGATTTCGCCAGCTATTTCTCGCTCCCGTGATATTGACGGGCTGGAGTGTTCAGTAGTAACACGCCAATAAGAATAAAACTAATTAATTTCTTTTGCGCGGAAAAAATTTTATTTCTCATTTTACACACCTGATGACAGTACCAGGATATTTTTTAAGGTAATTGTAGATAGTTAGTTTATTTTAAACTAGTTGCAGCACTAATCTAATACGTAATACAAATACAAAAGCCAAACAAATAGGCACTTTTATGACCGTTTTCTTGAAAATTAAGCAATCGTTAGGAGTTAAAGGTGTTTTTTTTATTCAAGGTTTATAAAAAGTGCTTAATTTTCTATCTTTTAAAAAGAGATTTTTTCTTGCTCTGTCGATTGTCATTCTAAATTACAAAAAAATGCATGATTTTTCACAATTTTACTGCAATATTTATCAGAAACTAGTTATTATATCATAATTACGTGAAGTTTGTGAAAATGTTGAATGAAAATAAAGACCTTGAACCAGTCTTCCTAATCAAAATCTGGCAAACACTATCTATTATTCTATTTATTTGATAATTCTTTTCTTTCCAGGTACATGTACTTGGGTGATGCCATTCTGGAAGATTGGAAAGAAGCTATAGAATTATTGAAAGCTGCTCATAAATATCAGATGGAATCACTTGTACAAAAGTGTGCTCAATATCTTCAAGACCATATTGATCTCTCTAATGTTTGCTACATTTATAGCAAAGCAGTCACCTATACTTTGAGTCCTTTAGGTTATTGAATTTAATAATAATCTTAGACAATGAGTAATCGCTTTATCTATTAGACAATGAGTAATCGCTTTATCTATTAGACAATGAGTAATCACTTCATCTATTAGACAATGAGTAGTCAACTTGCAAAAAATACAGATCAGCTTTATATTTCCAGATACATGTTTTTGCTTTTAACTCTTTCTTGTATGTTCCCATCCAAATTAAATTTATTTAAGTGGCTCATATAAAATACATGTACAGTGAGCAAAAAAATATGTGAACCACTCTAAATTACTTTTGATTTAATGATTGGATCTTCATGTTCTATGATCATGTTCAATCTAAAAAGTTTGAGGGGGTTACCTCAAATGTGTTAATTAATTTGGGCAGACGATATTTTAAGTTAAGGAATCAGACACAGAAGCATATTATTCTGAGTAAGCATACTTTTTTCCCCCAGGAGATTCGGATATCTGACCCCCAAAATATAGGGGTAGAAGCAATCTTGGAAATGTGGTTCCAATAGTTTGGTCAGGAGAGAGGTCTAAAGCAGAGTTGGCTGTTGATTACAGTAATCAATTACAACTGTAATTGATTACAGATAATTACAGCTATGTAATCAATTACTTGTAATCACGATTACAAGTAATCAATTACTTGTAATCGTGATTACAACTTTCAAAAAATTTTGATTACAGCTGTAATCATGATTACAATTTTGATTACAGTAATCAATTACTTGTAATCACGATTACAAGTAATCAATTACTTGTAATCGTGATTACAACTTTCAAAAAATTTTGATTACAGCTGTAATCATGATTACAATTTTGATTACAGTAATCAATTACTTGTAATCATGATTACAAGTAATTGCGATTACAAGTAATCACAACAAAAACGATTACAAGTAATTATGATTACAAGTAATCAAAATATATGATTACATGTAATCATGATTACATGTAATTTGATTACATGTAATTGTGATTACTTGTAATCAAACTATACGATTACAAGTTATTACGATTGTATACTATAGTCAAATTTTTTATGTAAGTATTCATGTGTTTACATATTTTTATGTACATAGAATGTACGCACGCATGAACGTACAATTTGCGATTCCTATACATACAATGTATGCACAAACGTTGTTTGTACGTACAATATTCATAATTATATTGTAATATACTTAATGCAATGCGCATATGCTTAGTACATATAATTATGCATTTATGATACATGTACGCATGTATGTTAGTTTGTACAAAAAGGCAATGTTTTGTATCTTTGTATACATAGACAATGTATGTATGAACGTATATGAAAATAATGTTTATGCGTTTGCATGCTTTTATGTACTTAAGTGCATATATTGTATAAATTTACGATAATAGCACGTATATACAATGTACGTTTGTATATAAAATTGTACGTATTTGCGTACAATATGTAAAAATGTTATTTAAAGGTACAATATATGCACATAGTTGCGTAAATAAAATGCGTACATGTATACATGCATATTTATATGTACATCGATATATGTGCACGCAAAGTATGTACTTATGTACAACTTACGTATGTACTTGTATAACTACATACTTTGTTAATACTTATGCGCATGTAATGCATGGATGTACAAAAAAATAGTTATATGCACAATGTATGCATGTGCATACAACGTATACATGTACATAATTACAAGTAATGTACAAATACGTGCGTACATTTAAATATATGTAATTACAATATACACATACATTGTGCATACATTAAAAAAATTTATATGAGTAAAGTTATTAAAATTTGTTTTAAAATTATTCTAAGGTATATGAAACTCGACCTCATATTTTTTAGAAAGCAAACGATAATTTTATTTGGAATTTCTAAATATTAATTCCACACATAAAATTTACCGTTTTTCTTACCATTTAAAAAATTTCTATGAATCATGCATTATGTTATAAAAAAAATAAATCTGTATTGTCAAACATTTCATGAAAATACCTGAAAATAATTTTTTATTCAGAGAATTTCAAAATGATATAGAACAATTAAAGCTGAAAACTAAATTTAAATATCGTTTGATTTTGTCATTTAACTTGCTTGAGTCATTAAAAGTTAACTTACATGCATTTTATTTATTGCATTGTACACATATTTAGACATAAATGTAATGTACATATGTATACGTGTAATGTATGTACGCATGTACAATGTATGTACATACATTCATGTATTGTACGTGCATATATAGTACATATGGATATGCATACATGGAACATACGTGTATTGTACATGTGTGGATACATTCATTGTACATATATACATTGCACCATATGCATAGATAGGGATAGCATGCATGTACACATGTAAAATTTGTACGAAAGAATTATGCCCAATATATTTATGCACATACGTACTGTATATGTACACACATATGTACATTATATGAACATTATATGTTCATTTCATCATATGTACATTATATGAATATACATCTGTACGCTATATGTATATACATCTGTACGCTATATGTATATACATCTGTACAATATATGCATCTCAAATGTGTGTATGTACGTACGTTATGCATGTCGAATGCATGTATGAATATATGTGAAATATAAATACGCCCAATGTACGTACAATAGTTCACAAATGTATTATGCATATTTGGATACTTACATTGAGCATGAACATATTATGTACATGTACATAAATACACTGGACATGCATATCATGTACATGTATACATACATATATTGTACATCCTACAGATATACCTATATTGTACATGCATACATATATTGTACTGTTCATAAATAAATTGCACATACATGCATGGGACATACATTGTACAGACAATGTATGTATGTTCGTACAAACACAAGTACTTGTATATACATGCGTACATGAACATAGATATACATTTTACATACACAAATATTTGCATAAAATGCATATATTCATTGTGTATAAATGTACATGTCTACATTGTTTGCACATACATACGTAATTATTATCTATATACATACGTACATATATTTTATACCTACAATATAAGTGTATGTACATGTGTGTGAAACTAAAATGTCTGAACATATGCACTAGATAAAATCATATGTACATACATTTTAGTTACATTCATTTGTACGTATACAAATACGTACAAAATGCAGTGCATGATAATACGTGCAAAATGTATCATTATCAAATACATTCTACTATCTACTGTAAAATATAATCATTTATAAGAATACAATAGTCTTGTAATCGTGTATTTAGATTACATGTAATCATAATTACATGTAATCAAATTACATGGTGATTACATGTAATTTGATTACATGTAATCAAATTACATGTAATCATATATTTTGATTACTTGTAATCATAATTACTTGTAATCGTTTTTGTTGTGATTACTTGTAATTGCAATTACTTGGAATCATGATTACAAGTAATTGATTACTGTAATCAAAATTGTAATCATGATTACAGCTGTAATCAAAATTTTTGAAAATTGTAATCATGATTACAAGTAATTGATTACTGTAATCAAAAAATGTAATCTATTACATTTTTGGCCAACTCTGGTCTGAAGTATGGATTTCATAATGTTAATTTTAGTTTTTGCGTATTTTGCTATATATCAAGATTTTTTTTACGTGAATTGAAACTTTTTCCCAAATTGCTTCTACCCCCTATATTTTAGGAGTCAGAAATCCAAAACCGTCAAAAAAAATGTGTGAAAAGATTATTCAGGGAAAGTACATTTTCGTGACTGAAAATATCATCTGCTCAAGTTAAATAGGAATCCTAAAACATGAAGATCCAATCATTAGATCAAAAGTTATTCGGGGTGATCTGTAATTTTTTTTATGCACTGTATGTTGTCACAGTGATTCCGCTAGAGTTTGGGAATCTGGGTAGGGGATTTCCAATCTGGATTCCTTTTAATTTAAAATGGGTACCTATGAAAAAAAAGAAAGGAATTCTTTTTATCCATCTATTGAAATGAACATTTGAATTTATTTAAAACAAAACAAAAGAAAAGAATTTAAAAACAAGAAAAGTGCGGTATTTCAACAATCAAAATTTTTACTTAGGATTGATCAAACACTTACATCAAGGCAAAGCAACAAACTAATATGATGCTCAAAATTATTCTCATTTTCTGTTCCAGCTAGTAATAATTTTTTTATCGATATATTTTGAAAATTTGGTTATTATTTTGTCTGGATGCTATTTTTTTTGTATTGCACTGGAGAATTAAGAGTCTTCTGAAACCTGTAATATTTTATATTTCATGTCCCCTCTATAATTTTTGGCAAGTTGGACGTGTTAGAGTGCATAAGCAGAATCACTGTTGTCAACTTTGTTTCATAAGAATGATTTATTGCTTTATAACCAGTATAAATTTAGAAAGCTTAACTTCAAAATTTATCAGGTCAGCAATTTGTAATTATAAAAATTATACTGATTATGGCACTTTTTAGCCAAAAACAACATTCACAGAACGATTTTCAGTGCAAACCCTTGTTATTCAAATATTTAGTTACTTGCAATTTGCAGTAAAACCATATTTATAAATCATTTCTCTAAAGACATATTTAATAATATTCAGTTTTGATACATAAAGTAAATTCTGATACACAAATGAGTCACAATGGTACAGTAGTTAAGGAGATATTTAGGAATAATCTACCTTAATAAATATTGTAAATGTTACACTAATGAGCTGCTATCACACAGTATTTAAGAACATATTTAAGAATAATCCTTTTTGAATCATGTTATAAATACTGTTATAAGAATGAGTTGCACTGGCACATTTACCAAGGAGATATTTAAGTATTATCTATTTTGATAACTATTGTAAATACTGATTTACTAATGCGTTGTTATTGTAAGGTAGTTAAGGAGGTATACTGTAACAAAGGCATTCAGTTATTATTGGGAAGAACCAAGGATCTATCTGGGGTGGTGATTTAAAGCTCTACTTGGCTTTATATTGATATGTACCTATTTGTCTTAGAAGTAAAGTTGACTGGTGCTATGTTGACCTTCATGACTTCCTTCATCAAAAAATGGCCACTGTGTTTTTTAATATTAAAAGCACAATGAGCACCAAAAATATTAATACAAAAAGTGCTTTTGTATATTTTTTGACATGCATAGTTTATTAGTTTTTTCGTGTAATAAATTTAATTAAATTCTTTTGCAGGCAACATTTGCCTAGAAATCATCCTCGGAACGGGTTGTATTGTTTTAAGAAGTCAAGGTTTCGAGTATTTGAATAAAGAGTCTGTGATGGCTGTTGTGTCCAGCTACAGTTTGAATGTTGATGGGGAGATGTGTGTAGTTAATGCATTACTTCGCTGGGCCGTGATGGAGTGTTGTCGTCAAAACAAACCACTGATCGAAGAAAGCATCGTCGAGATCATGGTACCCTTTCGCAAATACCTTTGCACCCGCAGTATTAATAGTGACGAAATGCATTCACTGCCACAATTCTTGCATGCCGAAATAAACAGCTATCACTCCAGGCAAAGCTTCTGTGTCACTCAACATCTTCTGGAATACGCCAAACGTGTGAGCTTGCAACTTATAGACTTAGACTGCCTCGCAGACAATGTCAGCAATTTCACGTGCTTTCGATTCCTCGCCGATCATTCCCTATTTCTGATCAGTGTGCATTTAGTAACAGTCACATCTTTCCTTACTTCAAACAACTATGTTGTGCTCATCAGTGAATCTGGCAGTTCTAATACCACCGTGTTTGAACTGAATTTGGCAGAAGTAACAGAAATTACTACAAGTTTACCTGGTGCAAGCTCCAAACCTATGTTCGAGACAGAAGTTCTGTTGAAAAAGCCTGTGCTGCTTCTACCTCAAACTGTGTACAGGCTTAGCCTTCGTAGTAATAGTAGGTCTCTGAAACCTAGTCAGTGCCACATCCAGTTTCCGAAAACTGGATTGGTTCCAAGTAAAGGTGGCTCAAGATCTGATGTAGTGCCATTTACTATACTCACTGATTCAATTTGGGGTGTAACTAAATTATTGTATCTTACTGCGCCTGTTCCAGAAAAGGAAATTTTTAAATTTCGCTTGCAGAAATAACTACCCTATTTTTAAATTGAGGGACCAATTATAACTTAGGAGCTTATTGGAAGGATATGTTAGATTTTATTTTCAAAACGCTCCAAAGTTTCACTGTTAAGCACATGTTGAACCTGAACAAGTTCTTTAAAATATCTTATAACATGTTCCTTCAATAAGCTTTTTCAAATTTTTAGCGAATTTATATGTTCATTTATTCAAATATATGTTATTTCATAGGAATGAATAATTTTATATAATTACCTTATGAACTTATTTTTCAGATAAATTTTAAGTACAACTGTTTTATGTTCTTTAAAATACCTTATAACATGTTCCTTGTGTAAACTTTTCAAACATTTTGTGAATTTATATGTTTATTTATTTATTTATTCAAATCTATACACTTTTATATAAGAATGAATAATTTAATTACTTTATGAACTTATTTTTCAGATAAATTTTAAGTACAACTGTCTTATGTGTTGACCAGCTTTTTTCTTCTTATATTTAGAAATATTCCTTTTACACTTTATTAATGTTTTTGTGAGTACAATTTTATATGGTATGAACACTTAAACTTTTTATTTTTTAAAAACAATTCTGCATTTAATTGGTAGTATAATTAATTAGTTTTACTATTATTTACATAAGCATTCATTACTTTATTCTTTTACGTTTTCTTTATTTTACTGCATATTGTCCTACAAAATATGTTTTCTAGAATTAATACTCACAAGCTTTTATTTATATTAAAATTGAACCAATTTTGACAGTTATCATATTTAACTCTCTGACTTATTAGAATTTCTACTGAATTCTAAAAAAATCACTATAATCACTGTTTCTCTTCTAAAGTGTTTTTTTAAAAAACAGTTTTAGGTTTTATTTCTTTTCATTTTTGATCAAAGTAATTGCTGTAAATTTTGATTGTTTGGTTTTCTATTTAATAACCATATTTTGCCATATTTAACCAGACCATAATAATAGCCATATTTTGCCTTTTACTATAATAAGAAAGTTTGATTTTTTAATAATTTACTGTACTAGTTCAAATAATAATTGGCTTGAAGATGTTTGAATGTGTGTTATATAAAGCTTGTCAAAGGTTGTAATTTAAATAATTGTTATAATATCTGAGTAATATTTTTGTTCATGTAATTATAAATATTTGCCTTAATAATTTTCATAAGGTTAAAAGCCTTCTTTTTTAAACCTTTGCTTACTGAACCTAGCTTTTAGCTAGTTGGTGTCAAACAAATTTTTCTGGCCGTGTTAGAAAGTCAATAGAGAGTTAATTATTCTGCTGCTTAGTAGTAACGAATAAATTTTAACTCACTAACGAATAAGTTTAAGTTGGAATAAGTTTAGCTAGCGAATAAGTTTTAACACATTAATTATCAGAAATTAAGCTTGCAGATTCTATACTTAATGTTGAGTTTGAAAATTTTTATGATTTTGTTATGTTTTATTTAAGTGTGATTTTTAAATCTTTCCATTTGTTATTTTATTAGATTTTTAAGCATGAACTTTTCTGGATGGATGTGATTTATTACTAGTACTATTAAGTATTATTACTACTATTGTACTATTCTCAGAAAAGTAATGCAATATGTTTTTGAGAATGTTGAGATTACATTGACTAAGGTACTTTTTACATTACAAAAGGCAATTTCAAAAAAATTTTATCATGAAAAATGTATTGTTTTCCTTATTAACTTATATTTTGTTGATTATTTTTGAGTTTCTATTCTGTATGTTCTGTAAAAGCAATCAAATTTGTTTAAAATTTAAATTTTTATTTTAAATATTTTTTATTGTTTCTTTAACAATAATAGTTCTTATTAACCTCATATAGCTTTTTAAGTAATTATTAAATCTAGAATAATATTTCTAAAGTATTATCTGTTCTGTAAAGAACTATTCTGCATAATTACATAAAAATTTTCAAAAGTTTGATTTTAATTAAAAATCAAAATTAAAAAAAGCATTTCAATTTAGTTTGAAGTTTAAAAAAAATAATTCTTTTTTTTTTTTTTTTTTTAAATAAATGCCACTGTCAAAACTATTACACTTACTTATATTAAAGTTTTTATTTCCAATGCCCACCTTTTTTTATTTCCAATGCCCAACATTTTGTCAATTCAGACATTGTTGGTCACTTTTTTGGGGGCACCATATTAGGTGGGCCAACATTGCTCCCACAGTAAGGACTGGTAGTACAGAGAATGAAAGAGCATCCATGCCTTGCCTGGGATTTGAACCCAGAACCTTTCTGATGCAAGACCAGTTTCCTGGTTCTTACACAGTTGGGTCAGCAATTAAAGTTTATTTTTGAATGAAATATTTCATATAAGTACATGAAAGTTTAAAATTTTTTTTTAATAAAATACTCTTAAAATGGGAAAATATTTAGTTTGTATAAAATAAAATTTAATTACTTATCTTAAATTTGAGTTTTAATAAATATAAATTTCAAAACTAGAACACTAACTTATATTGAAATTTATTTTTGAATTAAATATTTCATATAAATACATGAAAGTTTAAAATTTTTTTTTTTAAAAAAGACCATTAAAAGGAAAAATATTTAGTTTTTAAAATAAAATTTTATTACTTATTATTTTAAATTTGAGTTTACATATCTTGTGAGCTATTGGATAACTTGTGATAAGTGAACTATTAATAACCTTATTGCATTTGATAGAAATTGAATAATACGTGAGCTTGTGTGCTTGTTGTTGCTTTTCACAAGTGCTTTTAAATGATGAGTCCTATATGTGTTTAAAGCTGCGGTACTCTTTTGCGTGAAATACTGTGTTAGTATTAGAAGCTATGTCTTACTCACATTAAACTTTATATATTTAACTATGCATTAAAATATCAATGCGTTAGATGTTTTTAACGTTAGTTGTGATAGTTTCATTTTGCCTTCTTTTAAAACAGTTTGTAATAGATCATTAATATACTTGATTCGGAAATTTAATTGCAAATCATAGCTAGTGAAAAGCATTTTTTTTTAAAAATTATACCAGCAACTTCATAATTTAGAACAAATCTTTTTGCATTATAACAGGGTTGCCACTACACAAGGAGAATAGGGAAAACCTGGAAAATACAGGAAATTTACAAATCACCTAAAATAAAAGGGAAAATGCAGGCAAATATGATTTTTTTTCTTTACAAACTGGGAAAATACTGGAAATTTTGTTTCTTATTTTAGTCTTTTAAAAAATGGTGACCACTAAATGTGGGATATTTAAGGGTGATATTCCAACTATACTAAACTATTTAATTTAATATAGCATTATTTAAGTATGTTCTGCTGTTCCTTTTTTCCTCTAAGTTTTTCCCTCAATTTAAATAATTATAGTTAGCCCAATGCTGATAATTATAGCTGCTGCAGGAGCACTGTAATTGTGTTAATATATTGTGTTTAATAAGTACAGGGAAAACAGAAGGAATTTTTTTCTCCAGATTTAAGTGGTAACCCTGTATAATGATTTTGTCTTCCAAATTTAATGTGAGAATAATTACTAATATATTCCAGGTAGTTAGAGGAAATACATGTTAATTTATTATAGAAAGTAATGTTTTATTTTTCGTTGCGTCAAAAACTACAATAAAGATAAGCTTTGGTATTTTGATTGTAAATAAAAAAGGAAAAGGAAATATCAATCGAAAAATGTGTGATTTTTTAAATTATAAATCCTATGTTGAGTGAAAAATTTATTTTTGAAACTTCAATGGTTCTTTATATTTTCGTGAAACATTTTCTTTAAAACTCTCCATAAAAATTGAAGTATACATCTTTGAATAATATTATAATTCTTAAGATTCTTCAAAGTCAAGTGGTTCTTGTCCCAAAGTTTCTAAAAATTATCATACACGGTATCATGCATTAATTGTTTTATTCCATATCTCTTGAAAATATGGATCAAAATTTTTAAACAATGAGTCAAATCTTGTGCTGTGTTAATGCAATGTGTGCAAAATGCACCTAAATTTTTTATGGATTTTTTTAAAAGATGATTTAAAATATAAATTGTCCTTATAAAGTATAATATTAATAAATATTATATTTCTGATAATATAATAAATATTTTATTTCTGATCACTTGAAAAGCTTAATCTGCAACATTGTGTAATTCTATAACTGTAATTAAAAGCTACCACTTATTTATGAAAAATAACCTTCTGCCTTTTAAGAATGAAGTTGAAACTCCTCATACATTACATTAACTAAAAGCCCTTGAAGGTGCACTTTTTATTCGGGGTTTGAAAAAATTCTTAATTTTCAATCTTTTAAAAAGAGATTTTTTCTTTGCAGTATTGATTATAGTTCTAAATTACAAAAAAATGCAAGATTTTCCTAATTTTCTCAGCAATATTTATCAGAAACTAGTTATTTTATCATGATTATGTAAAGTTTTTTAAAATGTTTCTGAATTTTATTGATTTTAGGTTTATAAATTAAGAACTTTAAAGGATAGAAAAAAAATAATTTTTATTACTGCACAGATCCTAATTATGAATCTTTTTTTTGGAAAGTGATTAAAAATATTTTTTGAGTGCTTAAAAAGTGCTTATTTTCAGTTGAAAAATCTTTCTACGCACACTGCTATAGAATAAAAATTCACAGGTTTCAGAGAAGTGAATTTTTTTTTTTAATTACAGGCACTGAACTTATTGTTCTTCACCTTGGAAGTGTTGTTTATTTAACGTTACCCAGTGGGCACCTGTGAACCTAAGTCATGGAGGCAATCAGCATTACTCATGTCACACTGACACAGATGCTCGTTCATAGGGTGTGCCACAATTACACAACAGATTACAACACACAGGGAAAAATATCCCTGCCCTGTGTGGGATTCGAACCTGCAGTCATTGGATTCCTAGTCAGTCTTGCTAACCGCTCGGCTACCTGACTGGCAATTCTGAAATATGGCGTAGTCAATTAGTCTATGGGGTTGGCAATTAAGTTTCCGTTGTATTTTTAAAAAAAATTTTAAGATTTTTTTTATTAAAAAATAATTACTAATTAAAGAATAATTTATTCTCCTATGTTGCTTAAAATTTTTTCCCAATGTTCATCACATGGTTTATCATAGTTGGTTTAACCACAGTTAAAACCAAACTTTTTTTAAAAATAAAATCTTAATAGTAAGTAAATTTTTTCTGTTTGAATATAGCCAAATGAATGAGGATGAAGTTTTCTTAAATTTTTAATAATTTTGAGTTAATAATTGTTAATGAGGATTCATTTTACTTTAAATAAACAGAAATCTGTCATATTTTAACTTTTATATAGAATTCAGTTTCCACAAAAATACCTATGTTAAGATAAATTAAAGGAAGTTAAGATGTAATTGTGATATCTTTTAAAAAGGCCTAAAATAATTTATTGTTTCTGTTAGTTTTTAAAATTAGTTAATTCATACAATTATTGAAAGAGTTGATTTTAGATTTTAATTTTTACATTTTTGCATAACGCTTGCTGCAATCAAAAGTATAAACATGAATGACGGGCTTTCTAAATTTTATTTTTTCTGTTTAATTTCAGAATTGTTTTGTCCTTTTTTTTTTGGAACCATTAAGACTAAAACATGTCTTAGCTATTTTATAAACACATAGAATAATTTTATTATAATTCCTTATAATTTTGTTTTCTTTTCATTTTATTAATTGTAAACTTTTTTTACTAAAAAAAGTGTAATATCTTTTAATACATATCTTGTGCTTCTTATATTAAAATTTGTATACGAAATTTTTTTTCTCCAATTAATTAATTGATATAAATATTATAAAATGTATTCTGCTTAATAATGACATTAATGTAATTGATGCTGAAATATGAAGTTTTTATATACATTGACTATCAAGGGGTAAACTTTAATTTTTACAAGCGCTAATAAAATAAAATTTTGATATTAAATGCTGATTTGTATTTTAAAGTATTAAGGTATCCGACTACCTTCGGGACCGACAAAAGTGAATATTTTTGAATTTTTTATTCAAAATATAAATTATAATTAAAAAAGATAGCTGTGAAATGTTTTTTAATGGTTTAGCTAATTTTAATTTCAAGCTTGAAATGTGTTGCTTTATATAAACCAAAAAAGAATTAATAAACCTGGTTTTTCGAGTTTTTTCCCCAAAAAGATCTTTTCTACCTTATTTTCATGCAAAAGTGGGTTAAATAGCTCTTTATTGAAAATGGTAAGCCTTTGAGGTCGAAATTTCCAGTTTTAAACTTGGATGTTCTTTCAATTATGGTTTCCTATCAATGTACAGCACAAATATCACTAGCAGCTATTGCATTTCTAGAACTTTGATTAAAAGCAAAAAAGAGGCATTGAAAGTACTTGTATTTCTTAATTTGACATTCCTAATTTGTGATTGGAAAATAAACAAATTAACACGATCAAAAACACAGAAAAAAGACTGGTAGAACAAAACATTAATTTTTGAATAATCTAAAACACTGTGCCAAAAAAATTTTGTGATGTGATTAATGTTAAAATTTAAAAAAAAAAGAAACAGTAGGAGCTTGATTGTCAACACAATAGTTCAAGAGAGCTTATTGCTCTAATAAGTCAGATGGTGCAAAGTAGAGTTATGGTGCTGCCACCTATTCCTGAATGAGTGAGTTACATGTTTCTATATTCCAGGTTCACCAATTGAGGAGTTTCCACTTTATTCTTTCTTCACCCTCAAAAAAAAATAATCACATTTTATTTGGGTTTTTATTGTTATATCAAGATACTAAAGCTTAATTGTAAGAGTTCAACACTAATATTATTTTATGCTTCTGCTAGCAAT